GCCTGGATCTAAGAACTTGTTTTCCCCTCTTTTAGTGTTTTGTTTTTATATTTTCTTGCTATTCAATATGGTTGTAATAGTGTAGGATATTTATTTTCCGCATTTCTATTGCTTTATAAATGTTAGTAACTAGGTTGTGTATGACAAGCTAAAATCAACAAGTAGATAACCTAAATTCAAGACAAGAATGCATGCAATCAAACACACTATTAACACACATGCACCTCTAGGGTAATCTCACTTGTTGTCTCGGAAAATAGTCATGTCCCTCGAATATGGGTGTTTTAGCAAAGACACTCGATAAAAGATTATAGTCCCTCGATGTCCCTCAGTGTTTCCTTCGGTAAACGATCTAGTCCCTAACGAAAATTACTAAAACGTCCCATAGGTTACCTTCTATGACTATACAATTGACCAACGTCCGTCCATTCACATCCAACGATGGGGCTTCTTATCAATCAATGGTAAGATAGAAACATCTAAAGGAGGAGGAAAAGAACAAAGACCTTTCGAGTAGGTAGGACGCTCGTAGTTGCTTGCTTGCTCACAACTAAAAAACCATTTTCACACCAACACTTTCAATTGAAATATTTTCAAAAGTCAAAACACTTTGTACGCATTCTTATAGAGACAAGAATCATTACAAAGGCACTTTTCAAAATCACTTTCAAAAACATCTTCCACAACAAACATATCTTTGAACTATTTTCAAAACCTACACTTTGTATGCATTCTTATAGAGACGAGAATCATTACAAAGACGTTTTCAAAATATTTTCAAACCCACACCACAAGCATGTTTTCAAATAAAGCAAGTGATCTAGCAAGCAACTAAGAGCTCATAGATAACTACGAATGAAAAGGGTGTTAACACCTTCCCTTTTCATAACCTACCCCCCGAACTCAAGAAACCATCTCTAAAGGTATTTCCTGTTCTTTTCAATCTTTCCTTTATTGGATAAAACAAAATTCGGTGGTGACTCTTGCTATCCGCAACAATTGCGATCAAACGCAAAATAACTGAGTCAGTTCTCCCACCGTATTACAATCTGCATTTGCTCAGTTTGACTCATGTTGTGCATGGGACAGACTACCAGTAACCTCTTGAACCTCTTGTAAGAATTACCTAGTGACTCTCCTTCTTTCTTATTAAAATTCAAAATTTCATATCTTTTGTGAATGTAAACAAAAGAAGGAAAGTATTCATCAAGAAAAGTCTTCTTCGTCTGTTCCTAAGTGGTGATACTTCCAGCAGTCAATGAGTAAAACCACTCTTCATCATCTTCAGACAGCGTGAATGGAAACATCCTTAATTTCTTGGCTTCTTCAGAGTGCCCCTCAATCTTCAAAGTAGTGCTCATGGTGAGAAATCTCTACAAATGCTTATTGGCATCTTCATTGATCTTTCAGGTGAAAGATTTATTCTCGAGCTGGCGGATGGTTGAAGGATGCAGTTGAAAATTTGTAATAATGACCGGTTGATTCACAATAGTCAGCTGACATGCTGGAGCATTTGCTCCTCCGTAATCCCCAAGAAGTCTCTCAAGTGGTGGTGGGTCTTCAGCCATTGGTTTTTCCTCTTCATACTATGAACATGATTGATCTGATGATCCTTCTGACTCATGTCTAACTGACCGAGCGTGTCTACGCCTTGCGTGAAACGTTCTTTCTATTTCTGCGTCAAAAGGAAATTTAGCTGAGGATTCTCCTCGCATGCAAAAGTTAGGAAAAATCAGTAATAACAAAAATATGGAAATTATAGAAAAGAAATTTTAGTTGCAGAGCAACAAAATTTTAATTGAACTCAAATTAAACTCAATGATTAGGCAGTCCCCGGCAATGGCGCCAAAAACTTAATCGAAAAAATAGCAAGTGTATTATTTTGCCTCTTATAATAACAGAGAAAATTCCCCGAGTATCGATCTCAAGGACTACACAGAATTACTGAGTTTAATGCGAGGTTCAATTAAACAAAACTCAATTTGGGGTTTGGTTTGGTTATTGTACTTAACAATAGTTAAAAATATGCGGAATGTAAATTATGACTTTTTTTTACTAGTATGAATATTATGCTAGGGGTGAGTGTGTGATTTTCCCTGTAATGACCTTCACTATTGATCTCGTTTACAAGTTCATTACCTTCAATTACCGGCCCTTTAAATCATTTTCTCCTAAGTCCTTAGTGAGAAAACTTTTAACCATCTATCCTACATCCTAATTCCTTATAAATATCTGATAGAGTCAAGCCTTTATCTTATCAAGGGTTAAATTTGGTGACTATAGGGTATCCCTAGTCCTAGGTAATATCTACTATAGTTTAATCGTACAAAAACCTTAACAACTGCGGTACAGTTGGTTGTTAACCGTAAAATCAATCCTAATTGATCCGATCAGGAAAGCATTAGAAACCTTGAATAGTTAAATTGAAAGGAAACTATTCTATTAAAAATCAATAATTCATAGTCAATATATTTGCAAATCAGGGACAACCCCTAGTATTTGGGGGTTTAGCCGCACATAATATTCAAAGTAATTTCAATAAAAATAAAGATAGACATTACACAAATTGATGGTAAACTCTGTTCTTCAATTGTTTCCGCTCATGAATGATATTTATTCCCCTAACACTTGCATAGACTTCAATCTTTTATCGTCAAATTCTCCAGTTGTCAAAAGTCTTTTTCTTCTTCTCACAAACAGGTTTAAATAGTCTCGTTTTTCCTAGGTGATGCCAAAAATCGAAAGTAGCCTCCAGGATTCAAAAACACTAAAAATTCTCAAACTTAAGAATTATCAACGCCTGGGCTGACACGGGCACCCGTGTCAACGTCTCTAATCCTTCCTCCAAAATTTCATGCTTCAGCTGACTGAACACGGGTCGTGTCACCGGACACGGGCACCCGTGTCAGCTTCTGTGATCTGCCACTTCCATCTTTAAATCAGCTGATTTGACACGGGCCGTGTCGTGTGACACGGGCGCCTGTGTCGCCTTCTGTCCTGCTTCCAACTTCATTTTTTCCAGTCTTCCCCTTGACACGGCCCGCGTTAGGTGACACGGCCACCCGTGTCAGGACTCCTGAAGCACTTCTTTCTGAACTTCTGAATTCTGCACTTTTCTGCTCTGATTTATCGTGTTGTATTCTTTTAAACCTGAAAACACTAAAATACCAAATTAAAGCATAAAATGCGGTAAACTGCAATAAAACACCAGTCAAATAAAAAGAAACGCTAATTAAAATAAATACAAAATTCATGTGTAAAAACCACTGATCAATTGTCACATGATGACTTGTACTAGTGCAATTTTTGAAAAATAACACTTATAATCCTTTATCGCTAGATGACAATCGATTGTCATATCTCTAAATGTGTTTTTTTTTGTCTGACAATAATTAAGCATTGTTGATGACAATCCATTGTCATCCTATGACAATCAATTGCCGTAAGCCAAATTGTGAGAATTTTTCTGTTTTAATTTATATTGCATTGTCCGACGATTTTGGCCATAACTTTTGATTCGTAAGTCCAAATGATGTCACATTTGAAACATTAGAAAGTTAATGCTCAGATCTACACTCTAGTAGTGCTTGGTGAAATAATAGATGATAGTCAGATGTTTAACTTAGGAATGTTTATAATGATGTGTATGATCGATTAGTGAATCGTTCAGTTACCACAATGAAATATTGATGTTATAATGAAATAATATGGTTATATGTTTATGAGTATACATATATTAAGTTGTTGAAATTGATGTTGTTGTTGATTGTACTAATATTAATTAATGTTTGTGTATGGTGTATGATGTTATGTTATGATGACAAAGTTTGATGATGTTGTTATGGTGTTAAGTTGATGTTGTTATGATTGTAATGTTGATGTTATTATGATGTTGTTAATGAAGTTTCATGTTCAAATATATGCATGATTTGTTGATATTGATTATGCTGTTGGTGGTGACATACACAGTCAGAAGAGGACCAATGTGTATGTGTTGTTGTTTCATATTGAAAGTCCATGCGTTCATGTTGTCAAGATTTCGATTCTTTTTGGTGGACCCCAATCCTATGGGAGTGGTTCGGGTGCGAGTAACTAGTTTAGTGGAAATTAGAAATTAGGTCCTATTGTAACAGATCAGGAGCAAAATGAACCTGAATATTCAAAATCAATATCACATACATGTTGAGTAAATGAAGTACATTGCATTAACGTTGCATCTTTGTTGATTGTTGTTGGTGTGTTGTTGGATGAGAATGCCAAAGGATTAAGTAGAATTAACACTTGATTATCATACTATGCACGAAAAAGAATCAAGTGTTTTTTTTTAACTTAACATGGTGGGCGAAAAAGTTACTTAATTGGAGCATTAGCACGGTTTTTAGGATAGATCCTGCATTTCTTCATGAGCCCAAACACCTGATATCCCATATTTCTTTTGCACATTTGATGGCCATAATTTTTCACTACAAAGAAAATAACAAGAAAAATAATCTTGTTAGATTTCTTATATTCAAGGCCCGGAAGAAAAAAAATGTTCCTTGAGCTTAAATAGGTTTCCAAAAGACAGCAGCAAGCAGGCTGTACATTGGTCTTTCTATGTTTTTTGGCCTAATCTTTTGGTGGTCATAGGTCACTTCATTCAGAACTTCTCATAGAAACAGAAGCAACTCCTACTCAGATCATATGGCGAACAAGAAGAGTTCATGTCATCAGGAATCAATAAAATGGATCTAAATCAGCAATGTTACTACATTACTGTAGTCCTTTCACCCTTTCCATGTTTCTGTTATACTAACACGAGTCCTTTCACCAATAAACTTTATCAACCTTCCCGTTTAGCTTAACAAATGAACATCGCCGAAAGTCATACATGATCCAACTCTATGAAAGTTAGTCAATGCTGAGCAGGTTCATCCCAATCCCTCGTCGATACATTCTTAGGTAAATTAGAAGCCTGAACACTTCTGTTGAACAATACACCTCATTGTGTACCTCAGTAGTCAGTATCCATATTTATCATTCAAAGAAGTCCGTCCATCGCCCGATTGTCCTGCAGAACAAGATTTGTATGTTAATAAATTCAATAAATGACAGTTCAAGTATGTGGTCAGAATACTGAACCTAATTCTGCTTACCTTTTGGAGGAACCCATGTTGAATTATCTGTGTCATCGCTTAAAAACGATGGTTTTTCAGGCCCAAGTACTCTTTTAGGCTTCTTCTCTTGGATTTCATCTCTTCCATCATTGTCATCAGCAGCATATAGTCCCCTTTTGTATTTTAATAATAGAGCCACGGCATCCTCAGCCATTTGTTCGCCTGAGGTGGAAGATGTCGATTGCTGAGAGGCAACACTACTGCTTGTTCCAATTGTCTCGACTTGCTTCCGTTTTCTTAAAATTAGTCCAGGAGCAGCAGACTCAATTCTAGACTCCAATGAAGTGCTTTCAACATCATTACCGCCCAAAATTTTGTTTCTGTCCTTATAGTCAACAAACTTACCTGATTCGTCCATCTCCGGCGGATGAAGAGAGGTCGTCAGCTGTTGCTTATCATCTGTAACCCTGTCCTCTACAGCTCCAAGCCACTGGGGCTTTGGGACAACAAATACAGCATTATCAGTCTCTGACTTGTCATGGCCAGGTTGTGACTTTTCCAAAGCCACAATTGTAGCTGCAGGTTCCTCTCCTTTTATGGAGCCGTCTACCTTAACACAAGCATCACTAATTTTCTGGGTTTCCGCATGTGGTTTATCGTCATTTGCCTTAACACAAGCATCACTAGTTTTCTTGGTTTCTACATGTCGTTTATTGTCGTCTGTCTTGGCACAAGGCTCACTGTTTTTCTGGGCTTCTGCCGGCGGTTTCATCTTGATAGTAGAGGCAACTTCTTCGGGGTTTATTGGTTTGGGCTCTCGTGCTTTGAACTCCCTTTTCTTGGAAGCATCTCCCGTTGGGTCAGCAATCTTCAAGAGGTAGGATATCCTATCTAGCTCGGACTGAAGAGTTGATAATTCCTTCTCAAGCTGCGCACTTTTATCATAAACTGACAGAAGAGAATATCAGTGAGGATAAGAGGAGTAATCAAATACACATTTCATCGTAAGACCTATTGTTGCACAAAATGATATAGAAAATGTAGAAAAATAAAACAGCCATTTATCAGTATTAATGTTAAACACAAGTCTGTCAAAATCAAAATCCTACCTAAATCAGGTTAGGGGTGAAATAACATAAAATATATGATCATAAGCCAGATTGTAAGATTTTGAAAGGTACAAATATATTTTGTCGCTCGCTGTAAATACTTCACCTTTTACTTTCAATCCTTGTAAAAAAACTGTTTGCCCTTTATATTTTTAACCCTTATTGTTTTGTTTTAGTTATTTATTTATGTTGTATCTAGGACTGTCCCAAACTGAAGTTAAAATGAAGTGAACCAAATCATACTGTACAAACGGTTATAGAACAGAACCATATGACATATAAACCAAACCAAAACTGAGAATGAAAAATACTAAAAACAAGTTTTAAATTTTTTTTAACAGAAATTGAAAAATAGTGTAACAGTTAAGTTTTTTATCAAATGGTTTGGTTTGGAGAAATTGTCTTCTAACGGTTTGATACGATTCGGAACTTCGAAACGGTATACCGAATTGGTTTGGTTACTGAGTAAATTGAAACGTTTGGTTCGGTTTGGTTCGAGTGAACTTTTACTATGGTTTGGTTCAGTTCGGTTTTCCCAGTAAACTGTACCATGAACAGCCATAGTTGGATCAATAGATTTAACCTCTCAAATATGGACTGTGGACTAAAAATAAAATCAATTTAATACAAATACTGCAGAGACAAGGATCAATTCCAACAAGAATAATTTTAGAGACTAAAACAAAACAAGAACTAAAAGCAAAAAGTGTTATATTTGGAAGGACAAAAAACAAACAATTTTGAACTGCAATTTGGGTACTTATATTACTCTATTTTATTTAATATGATTATTAAAATTAGTTACATGAAGAGAACAGACAGAAAAATCAAATATAGCAGAAGGATTGTATGTAATAAGTGAACCTCAAAACAAGCATTAGAGAGCTTATAATATTTTGGAAAAATGAAGAGGTAAAACTTCATCGGATTATGTGATCCAATGAGTATAATCATAATATTAAAAACAGGGTTACATGTAAAAACAATTATAACCCAACATTGTTACAAGCACATGACTATGGACAAAAAAAAAGCTCATTTGATAGTCAAACAAACCTACCAAAAAAAACTTTAAAATACATCAAAGCACTGTAAAGCTTAATATATGAGGTTAAGAGAATTCTCACCTAGTTGAGATGAAAGTCCAGACATGTAAGCATCAAGTGAATCACCGACATCATCCTGTGTGGTACTCTTTGTCTCTGATAACACTTTGTTCTTCTCAGTCATGAGCAACTCTTTCGTGTCATTTATTTCCTTCATGATAGTATCTCTCTTATCAAGAAGAGTATCAGCAGTCTCGATTGACTGGTCACCAGGCTTCTTTTGAGAGGGTTTTTTCTTTGTACGGTCATAAAATTCATCATCGTCGTCACTGAAAAATGCACATAATTACCAAAGTTACTTTTAGTTTCAGGGCATCTTTGTAAGTTTAATATAAGAAAACCAAGCAAGCATATCCAACATTGACCTAAAGGAACACAGAATATGAAGAAACAAAAGCAAACAAGTACAACAGCCTTAAGCAGTTCAAATATGAAGTTATCTTTAATTTATGATATTCAAGCATGAGGTTCTTCCCAGTAAATTTCAGCTTTCAAGAAAACTCTTCCATTAATAATATACCTAAAATATTCTTCTTCATCTTCCACTGCACCTTTCTTCTTCCCATGAGGTAGCTTTCCTGTACGTGCACCTAAACTTTCTCGAATACTATCATTCAGTGTTTCTTCCAAATTTTCAAGTTCTTCCATTATCTATCCAATTAAAAACAATGTTATCTTAGTAACTTAAGTGCTCATGCATCAGCATTTACAATCACAGAATATGGAAAGCAATAATATGCAAGGTTCTTGTCTAATAAACTTTCTCCAATATTACCTCTGCCATTCTTTGCTCATTCCTAGCAATTTGAGTCTGTTGACCCTGAGTTAATCCACCCTGAGAAATGTCTTTAACACGTATAGAATTTATTTCTTTCTTCATGTTAGAAATCTGCACACAAAAAATACACATCGGGAAGCTTTTCGAGTATACCATTTTAAAAACAGGCCAATAGGAAACTGTATTCTGGGCAAGTGGAGAGGGTTTCTGTGTGTGGGTACAAATATCATCATCCAATGTTCGTCCTTTAGGGGATGCCTTTTGCATTACAACTATCAACCATTCATTTGAGACTATAACTTCAATTTACTTTAATTATCTTGGTGGCGATAGGGATTCTGAGAACAGGATAAGTAAAAGAGGTTCCAAGCAATTAGGAAGAGTGGCAGTGTGAACTAGTGCTCTGGTTTCTAGGTCTATAAGAGATATAACTTAACAAGAATTACTCACCTTTTCCGTTCTTTTTATTATTTTCTCACGGGTTTTTTCCTGTTTTTCTGTAAGCTGCCCTTTATATGACTGCCACGTTATTTCTTCAACATCATCCTGAAATCAGAATATAAAATGGTCAACTTGAGCTTTCACATTAAAGGAGAATCTAACATATAAAGTTTGAATGAATAATTAAGTAGTTCAAACGAAGAAATATATAGGTTTTGGGTTATAATTACCTCATCTTCTTCAATGGCATCCTCCCCCATACCCCACGATATACCCTCAGCAGCAGATGCTTCCATCTTTGCTCGACGAAGCGAAGTTTCCCTATCTAGCAATGCTTCCCGCAATTTAATTTCTCTCTTAAGTTTTATATTAGCCTCCTTCAAGTATAAAACAAATAACACGGAAAATTGGTGCAGGTTCCATTAGTCCCAAGAACATAAAATACTTTCAGCTATGACACTTAGACAGATACCAGTGACACATTATCAAATACTAGTGGTGAATGGCCATAAATTTAATGAAAGAAAAACATACGAAGACCAGATCTTACAGGAGGCATCAATTCTGACGGTCCTTGAAAAATGAACATCCGAGTTGACCTGGAAACGGAATACAAAATGAATACTAGAAACATATATCAAGAAATGATGCTCCTTGTAAATCAAAACTCATTCACTCCAATACAGAAAACATTTAATCAACATGGCAAAAGATTATAAAGAAAATAATAAGTGACATATTCTTATTTAAATTCTTAGAGTTTGTAATTCAGCACAAGATAGAGTAACATCTTATAAACTTTTACATGTAGAAAAGAGAAACTCATTTAGAAAGAAGAGAATAAATAACCAATACAGATCAGATGTACCCCAGAAAAACTATTAAAAATGAAAATCATTTAGCAGCAGAAAAACAATACTCAGGAATAACAATGCACGAGACAGTCCAATCGCTATATAAATTTGAAATGACAATATCCCAAAGAAGACCATGGGGATTTTAAAGCACGACACAGACCAATCGTAATATAATCAAAATGACAATATCCCAATGAAGACAATGGGGTTTTGAATATCAAATACTAATTCAACATGACCTAGTATACATTACATTTCAACTGGACCCATTGCACATGCCTCGAGAAAACTGCAATTACTAATTTTATAATGGCTTACTAAATACTAATGGTTCTAATTATAATAGATACTGCCACAAATAAATTAAATAAAAAAACAAATCACATCATCAGAAACAATGAAAGAAGTAATATTGACTCAAGAGATAACAAAAATAATACAAACAGAAGAAGCCTTGATTGTGCGTAAAATGAAAATTCTATACAAAAAACACCTACCGGCCAAACCGAATGACATCACCAACACGCAAATCAATGTATGTGTTTTTCTCCACCTGAGCAAATAGGGAAAGGAAATGGAGCTATGTCAGTGATGTCTATAGTTATAAACCTGCAGATATTTATCTTTACTGACACCTGGGTCCAATTTTTTAAATAAAAAGCTGCAAAGGTACTTAAAGGTGAAAATATTAAACTAGATCGCAATGACTGTGAGTATCAATTGTTCTTGCTATTTCGGTCAACTTTAGAGCTGTTAATATAATTCTCGGCATACAATCTTGCTTGCCGGAGGGTACAGTAAAAGATGTTGCCAGGGTGAGTTCTGCTAAGTCAAATTAACTCCAGACGTTATATTGTTTAGGAAAAACAAGAGGGCACTTAGTGCAGGTGGAAACAATTTAGATGTACACCCAAGTAGAAAAAGAAGAAGATGAAGGTTTTTTTGACAAAACAGAGATTATGCTCATGACTATAGAGTTCGGTAAAGGTATTAGCAAAAGCATATTTGAATGAACAACATCAACAAATATGTTTAGACTACTCTTCTTCAATCAACCTAGTAGCGTAGATTGCATGTTAAATACCGTTGTTAAACCTTACTTTAAAGTATGAAATAGCAGGAAGGAAGAGGAATTCTAATTTCTAAATCAAAATATATAAATAAATAAAGTAATAAAAGAAGGAAAAAAGTAACAATTTTTATATTTGTCACAGGGCATATTTTGCACATGAAAATAGTTATCAAACAGAAGGATCACAAAAACATATTTGATGAATCAAAGATCTAACAGAATTATAAAAAATTCTAGAGGACGAGAAAAAACAACGCCATACCTGATTTTTGTTCAAAAAGGTGCCATGAGTACTCCCCAGATCATAGAGATATGCATCTCCTCTTCTCTTAAACTGCATAACTAACAAGAGTGAAATAAAAACTAGGTAAGAATCATGAGAGAACTTTTTGAATGTCTAACTTTTGGTGAAATTCACAAATGTAATGCACAGGTTTAATATAATATGACTTCCAGATCTTTTCAAAATGAAAGGGTGTAATCAGGCTACCTGTATTATAATAAAATGCTTTTAACTAACTGATTCATCAAGCTATGTTTGAATCATAAAGAATACAATGAATATTACCAGCTTTTGCAATCTATATTCTTAGTCCCACTTCCGCAACTTTAGACTAACACGTTAGCAATCATTGGCATTATGGTTTATTAAATTAGACTAAACAAGCTCCCTTTGCAGCACCGACACTTCAAATTGGAGGCCAGACACTGCAAGGTAGAACGCAGTAAATTGGAATATGCAAGTGTTTTGTGATGAGCTCAAGAGCTCTACTATGGTAGAAAACAATAAATCGATAAATCAGAGTTCAAGAACTCCTACCAAAGAGAATAACTCTCCTAACCAATTCGCTAAATCAATTTAAAATGCCTCGCACCTAGACTCTCCTTCCCCCAAATAACCAATTCTCCTAGAATCACAAAAGATTCTCTAACTTGTATTCCGTTATCTGACTCAATCACTCTCTCTCTCTCTCCTCATGCAGCCTACACTAGATGATGGGCTCAATACGATTTGTTGACATAATTGAGTCATTTGTATCATAAGGCCCAGGCTCCAATCACCGCACGAGACTAACATGTGTAGTTACATACAGTACAATCAATTCCATTTTAAAAATTATCATCAGTTCCTTCGTGTTGCTGTTGTGTATGTGCTTGATAGCCATTTTCATCCCAAACATACGAATATTTCAAATTGAGAGCAATAATTGAGTGTAAAATTCATAGCATACCAGCATGAAACCTAGAAATAGTTGGGTGTTCGAGCACAAAGTCACAGAGATCCAAACGCCCAAACATATATGCACCTTTTTCATGCCTGTGAACCAAACCAACCATAAGAAAACACAATTTCAGTTGAATTAGAGAACTGAACAAAAGACAAAGTAATGTGAAACATACACGTTAAATTTGTCGATGATTGAACCATCCTTGAGAACCTCGAGGTAGAATTCATGGCAAGGAGCAGAACTCCAAGCCGGAATCTTATACGGAACCGCTATACCTTGAGAGGGTTTGGGGGTTTGAGTATCAGTGGAATGGAACAGCGGTGGTGGCTCGGATAGTGATGAATTGGCGGTGGAATCGGACGGTGGCGGTGGTTCGGGCTGTGATAAATCGGACGGTGGTGGTGGTTCGGGTTGTGATGAATCAACGACGGTGGATGGGGATGAGTGAGAATCGGAGTTTGGAGGAGGAGGTGATGGAGTTAGGGTTTGTGGTTGAGGATTAGGGTTTTTGGGAGGTGGAGGACCCATTGAGTTCGTCATTGCAACTCAGAAGAATTCAGAACAACGAAAACTCTTTGAAAATTTAATAAAGTTAATAATGTTAATTCATCTATAAATAAATTTATTTTGATTCCATCAAAAAATATATTATTTATTAATTAAAAAAATAGTCAACCCACAATACCAATCTTTTATGAGAGGATGTGAAGAAGAAGCATTGTCCAATGAAATGTTTGATAGAAGAAAAGGAAACGAAGCCTCCACAAATGAAGAAGAGTAGACCTTAGGGAGAACCACAAAAGAATTCATTTCAAGCAAAGAAGATGAAAAAGGAAGTGACAAGCATTAAACTCTAAGTAAATTTATTTAGGCTTAAATGCAGTTTTGACCCCTATAGTTTAAGGTTTTTGGAGTTTCGATCCCCCTAGTTTAAAAGCCAGGTTTCTAGTCCCCATAGTTTTCAAATTTGGGATTTTTGAAGCCCCCTCCATCTGGCTGCCCAAAAAGTTTTCAAATTTGGGATTTTTGAAATCTCGTACGGGCGGATGGAAGAGGAAATTAGGTTAAGCAATTTGGGATTTTCAGAAAATATGAATTATGAAATTAAAAATTCATTTGGAAATTAATATCACTTATTTAAATGTTTAAAAAATATTATTCTAAATAAGAAATAAGAAAATAATACGTGGCATTACTCTCCCTGTGCCATGTCACATGGAGGGGGCTTCAAAAATCCCAAATTTGAAAACTTTTTGGGCAGCCAGATGGAGGGGGCTTCAAAAATCCCAAATTTGAAAACTATGGGGACTACAAACCTGGCTTTTAAACTAGGGGGATCGAAACTCCAAAAACCTTAAACTAGGGGGGTCAAAACTGCATTTAAGCCATTTATTTATTAAGGGAAAAGAAAATTTCTACTTCATCTTATCAAGTTGAAGTCTTCCTTAAATAAAAATAGACTAGAATTTAAATTAGATAAAACGTCTAGTAAAAGATTAGGTTGGAATAAAAATAATTAATTCATTTATAAATACTCACATTATATTAAACTTATCACTTATAGCCTTTTTATTTCATAAATATAAAAGGTCTAAAGATAATAATCATATGAATTTTAGAAGGACTAATGCACCTATATCCAAGAAATTAGGGTACCAAAAGTGATATTCTAGTATCTTTTGTAAGGTTGCTTTGCAGCTTTTATGAAGCCTTAAAGCGTATTTAAATGAAGTTGTGCAAAGCAAAAAAGTATACCCTTAAGTATAAAGTGGTTTGAGGTCTTCGATTAAAGAATGATTGATTATGGTGCATCAACGATGGTGATAAAAGACAATTTTTTTCCATTAAAGATGATCTCAACATCTATGATCTTCAATGATCAGCTAACCTCGGAGTAGGTTGTGTGGATATGTCTCTGGTGGACATTTTTATCTCATTGTTTAACCAACTCTCGCATCTAATGATCGGTAGAGAATGACACATGACAATGTGTTATTGTTCTCTTACAAGAGGAAAGTTTTTATCAAAGCTTCTTGATATTTGAGATAAAACACTATTTTAAAGTTGAAATAATCAGAAAACTCTGATTAATCCTTTAAAATAGTGTGATTAATTTTTTCTCATCAATTAAAATAATTTTGCTAACCCAACTAATGATATTTCTAGTTGTTTATAGAGGAGAGGTAAAAATAAAGCTGGGCAAGAGTGGGGAAAATTGAAAAGGCCAAAGCAAGGCCCAATAGATCACCAAGAAGGTCGAAACACGTAAGCTCAACCGATTGGAGCCTTAAGCCAGTCGACTGGCATAACTTGGCGTGCATATTTTAAAATCCAATCTAAATGAAATGTAGTCTCCAAGTGAATTAGATCCACACATTGATGAACATTAATCAATATCTCTGAAGATTTGATCACCTAATTGATTAGGTCATTAATCAAACCGATTGGGATGCCACTTTTGGAATGAATTTGTTCTGATTTTGAAAGTTCACTGTAACACCCCGATTTTTCTTTATTAATTATTTTGTTATTTAATTGTAATAATAATTATTATTTGGTTTAATAATTATTTAATTATTTGATTTTGTGTGATTATGTGAATAATTGATTTAATTGTAATAAGTGTGTATTATATGTTATTGGGTTATTGAGTGTGAGAATAAAAAAATGCACATTTGGGCCTTATATTGCGTTAGAGTTGACGAGTGGAGTTAAGCCTGTTTAGAGTTAGTAAGAGGTGAACAAAATAAGGAAAATATAGAATTAGAAAGTGAAGAAAACAAGAGAAGCGAAGAAAGAGGAAAAGAGGAGAAAAGGGAGAAAAGAAGAAGATAAGAAGATAGAACCCCAGAGTATCTACATCCAAGGTAATGGTGGATATTCATTGATTTATGAGTGTATGTAATAGTATGTGATGGGTAGCAACATGAAAATAGGGATTTGTTCTTCAATTTCTAGATTTTGACATGTTAGGTTTTGAATGAAGAATCATGAAATTGATGTTGGAAATCATGTTTTAATGTTTGTATTTGATGATATATGTTAGATATAGGTTATAATACATTTAATTGGTGAAATATATATGATTGAATGAGACTTGGATGGATAAATTCGTAAAAGGCAGAAGCTTCCCAAAGCAGAATTTTTCTGCATTTCGCAGCACCGTTTAACGCGCATGGGGTCGCTTAGCGCGGTCTGGAATGCAAAAATTATTATTTTCTGAAACTGTTATAGATCATAGATGCTTATGATTTATCATTTATTTATATGAATTTTAATCATTTATTTGATGTGTTTTTGATGACTTATGATGAGAAACATGATACTTGATTTTGTGTATGAGAATGATTTGAAATGATGATGAATGTGAATGACATGATTAGAATATGTTTGCTACATGTTATAATGATGTGTTGAGATGATTAATGCTATGAGAACGCATTGTGTGTGATTGATGACACGAAATATGTATGTTGTACAATTTGGTGAAGTTAATTCAAATATGTTGAATTATGTGAAATATGCTTGTATGATTAAGATATGGAGATGGTCTTAATTGCATATTTATGTTGATATTGCACATGTATCATCTATGTCAAGAGTCACTATTTGGTAATTTTGTGGGAATTACTGACTTGTCCCAAACCTGGAGACGGGGGTTTGAAAGTTTAGAGAACAGGCTTTTTGGTGGTTATCTGTCTTGGAGATATGGACTCGACAGGACCAGTAAGGATAACAGTCGGTACCACGTGCATATTGCATTGAGTTGTATTAGAGTCACATGTGTCGATGTGAATGTTGAATTCGTGTGAAATATGTGATATTGGTATGAATGTTACACTTGTGGTATTTGTGATTGATTATCTTTGAATCTTGAATCATTGAGCAATGTTGTATATGAAATCATATGAATGATGTTGAAGTGTGTTGAATACCTAATTATGTGAAGTGTGATGAATTCATTTGATGTATGCTCGTTGTGCATTACTTATTATTATATATTTCTATAAATGATATAAATTCCCACTCTTCTGTTGGAATGATGTTTTTATATGACATTGCTCAGGTACCGAGGATAGTGGTGGTGCTTCTAGCAAGGATTAGTCAGAAAAGCTAGTTCTTCATTTACCTTTATTTAGGTAGTGAGTCATGCTCTGGTCATGTAACACATGGAACATTTGGATTTATGTTATATTGTTATATTCATGTCTGTTTTGAGAGATGTTTGTTATACTCTCTGGATATTTATGTTATGTTCGGGATTATGTGATAGTGGCCTTTAGTGCCTAATATTTTATGATATGATTGTCAGTATGAGATTTTAATCATTAGTATTATTTTGGAATGATAATTATTCCGCTGCGAGATGTATATGTGTTAGATGGAACACGATATTTAAATGTGTATTATAAGCATGACCAGTGTATTGTGTTGTTGTCGTGAAGTAAATGTGATGCCCTCGTCTGATATGCATGTTAATTTACTCTGATTATGTCATATTATTTATGTGGGGTTTAAGGGGTGTTGTGTTAGTGGTATCAGAGCATGGTTGGTCAGTTGGCCAGGTTACTAGTGTGTTTATTTCCTTTTATATTCGATATGTGTCATATACACAATCCATACTATTTGTCTGATGAGTGTTATTGGCTGTCTGGTTTTTTGGAATCTCGGGACGATGGTTGCATGAAGGAATAATGATGTTATTGTTGATGCATTGACATTGTTGGCTGGTGCAATTGGGCAGACTCCAAATGTGAATGTTGGCAACAGAGATAGTGATGAATTTTGTGCTTTGGGGATATTCTAGAGGAACAATCCGCCAATCTTTGAAGGAGCTCATGAACCTGACAAAGCACAAGTTTAGCTAAAAGAGATTGAGAAGATCTTTCGAGTCATGAATTGTTCGGGTGCGCAGAAGGTGCAGTTTGGCACCCATATGCTTGAGAAGGAAGCTGAGGATTGATGGAATAACACTGTTTAGATATTTGATGAAGATAGGATTGAGGTTACTTAGGCACTTTTCAGAGATGCATTTCTTGAGCTGAAGCACATCAATGGAATGGTGGTTGAGTATGCTGCAAAGTTTGAGGAGTTGATTAAGTTTTGTCCTCATTACGACACTGCTAATGCTGAGAGATCTAAGTGTCTTAAGTTTGTGAATGGTTTGAGGCCCGAGATCAAGAAGGCTATGGGTTATCAACAGATTACTCGGTTTTTTGAGTTGGTTAACAAAAGTAGGATTTATGATGAGGATAGTCGAGATAATGTTGATTACTATAAGGCTTTGAGTGATAAGAAAGGAAAAAGGCAATTTAGAGAGAAGCCATATGTGACTCCTGCTGATAAGGGGAAACGTAGAGGTGGTTATGACAAGAAGCCTAGTAGGGGAGGATCTTTAACTTCGGTTAAGTGCTTCAAGTGTGGTGTTGAAGGACATTATGTTTTTGAATGTACAAGTCTTGGTGTGAAGTGTTTCAAGTGTGGAAAGCTAGGTCACAAGTCTAATGATTGCAGAGGAGGTGCGGGTGTGACTTACTATA